CGTCTTACTCTGGTCACTCTGAAACCTCTTCCCATTTAATTCAACTTTACCCACTAGCATCACACGTCAAGGTAAGCAGTAACTCGACATGTCCAGTACATGTTCAGGCCATCTCAGTCGATGCAGATATCCATCAATTTCATCAATCGACTTACCTGTCTTGCCTAGTAGCCTCCACCTGACTGACCTCAACATTGTTCATACGGCGATTCCACCAAACGTGAGCAGTGCTACGAAGTCACCTATGATCAAAACCTTGTGACGGCTTCATGTCTTCTACTTTCAACGGACACGTTTCACAGCTGTATAACAGGACAGAACGTACTTTAACGTAGTCGGATACCTCACCAGTCGGCGCAAAAGATGATGCAAGTTAGCAAATGCTATGCGGGCCTTCTTTATGCAAGCTGAGATTTCGATAGCAATCACCCTGTTCAGGCTGATGCAACTCCCGAGTAAGTGAAGTGGTCGTCACATTCCACCGCATCACTCCTTATCCTTAAACTGGGAGTTGTAGCAGGCCAATCCTGGAGCATCATTTCATATTTCAAAAGTGAGAAACTCATGCCAAACATAATCAGATTTCTGCTTAACAGGTTCTGAAAACCCTACATGAGACCTTACATTCAATTAGTTATGACAAGTTTGTTCACAGGACAGTATTTTTGTAAAGATTTGAATTTTGATCATAAACTAATTGGACATTAGGCAATCTTCAAATACTTTCCGGTTTCATTTAACTATACATCACATATAGATATATAACTGATTAGTTGTTCCATTTTTTGATTGCCATTCCACTTCTGGCTTGAAGTTTTCACAACCATTAGTGTTGCTTCTAAGTTTCGAGAAAAAGTGTGTAAACGTACTTGTTTGAAGAAGCAAAATTAATAGGATATGCCCGTCTACAAACAGTCAAAGCCATTTATATATATATATATATATATATATATATATATATATATATATATATATATATATATATATATATATATATATATATATATATATATATATATATATATATATGAAAACCGTTGCATCTAGGACACGTTTCGACCTTGAAATGCACGTTCTATTACCTTAACACCTTTTCTATTTAGTGAGGGACTGAGAGAACATCAAAGTTAAAAACTGAAGGTTATTGTTCAAATGTCTACATTCACATAATGTGTATCTGATCAAAGGTTATATCATGGAATTGCCAGCAGTCAAACTTATGTTGTTCGTAAATTCATTGTCTCAGGGGATTTCATTATCATCATCATCATCAATATCAACATAGGACCAGGCATTACTGTGTAACGGTCCAGTTTGCCGCCACACCTCATATCAGTACAGCAGGTAAAGAGACAGTCAGGCGCAAGATGAAGATAAGAAAATTCAGTCAAAAGAAATATGAAATGTGAAAAGAGAGAAATTAAGAATGAGAAACTGGTGAGATTCGGTATAGTGTCGTTAAGATGAGGATAATGTATGTAGTATACATCTGCGCCACTGACGTCGGTTCTAAGCCATACGGTAAAGAGTCTCCAACCCCTCGTTCCTCTTGTCCCTTCTCAACGAATTTTCACTAAGTCAAATCATTATTTCGCTATTATTATCAACTAACCAACAATTTGCCCGAGGAATGTATGTGAGATATATTTATCATCGAAAAATGGGAGGATTATCAAAGTAGAGATAAAATATGTGAGGAAAGTATAGATCTGAACTATTGAGTAGCAAATAGGCATCAATGGCATACATTGATAACCACTTATCAAGGTGTAGGATAAACTATAAATTTGTATATAGTCAGATTTCAAGGGCTGATAATATAGTTTAGTTTGATTGGGTTTAACTAGCTTAAACTTAAGTTCGATTCATGTTACATGTCAAGATAAACCTTACAGACTGTGAGTGAAATACCGAAGTCAGTTTGTTATTAAATGTCTATACCTTCAGTGCAATGAATGTGATTGTTCCTATTTCCGTGGTAACTAGATTTTGCTACTATGTGCGATGAATGGTGATTTTGATGCAAAGTGGCATTATCGAGCTTCTCAATTTAGGCTGCAGGATACCTTTGAAGTCATTAGAAAGTACCACTGATTTCCTGTGAATGAGATGATGTCAGACAATCGTATTTAATGGAGGCCCATCTATTGTGAAGAGCCTTAAATTGTTACAAATGTATCAAATCTTTGTGTACTATGAGATATCTGGCAATGACAAACCGTTTCTTCCCGTGGTGGAACCAACCAAAGTTTCCATCAAATTTATTCGTATCCTCTGCCACGGCATAGAGTAACCTTAACTATCAATACAGATGTAACTACTACTACACTTGTTAAATTCACCCCTTGATAGAAGACGAGTTGGCACCAACGTACTTGACACTATGTTTAATGTAATATACACATGGTAATTGATAAATCAGTTCAGTTACAATTTTACAGTTGTGAGGTCGTCGTTCGGTAGCTCAACATTAAGTCAGAGAGTTAAAGGCTCCAACTTGACCCTACCCGCCGACATTTAAGTAAGTAAGTAATGACTATGATACGGGTAATTTGCAACCCATATCCACTATTATTAGCTACTTGAAACAACCTACTCACAAAAAGGAACTTCGAGTATTGCAACACACAACTAACATTGTGCTTGTGTGTTGGTAAGCTGAAACAACTAAGAACAATCACAAGTGGTAAACTGCAGTTAAGTAAAGTAGGAGAATATTCTCGTGTTTTATTCATCTTAGTGACTCGTGAGGGAATCAAGGATGATGGGATTCATTATCTAGGTGTACTTGCATCGCCAGTGAGTGATGCTGCTCCCACTGAGACTCCAGTACCCATCGCTTTGGACACCAAAGCGTTATCCACTAGTCCACTGGGGAACGAAAGCAACCACTTGTTCAACAGGTATCATTGCTCGACCATTGTTGGCAGATGAGCTTCTATCAGGATGCCTCGATACCACCGGATATTCTCGGGTATGTCAATAAAAAAAAGGAAGACAGAAGTAAATTAGCCAAATAACACATTCACATACACAGAGAATAATTGAATACAACATAATGTCGGGAGTAAGAAGCAATAATATTAAAACCTTTAAAAAGGTTTTCAATCAAAAGAGGAAGGGAATTCTTCATACTAATTCAAACTGTGTGAATAGAAGGATTCGCTAAAAAAAATGTACACCTAATTTGAATGTGAAATAATGAGCGGAAAAAAAGGGTCATGAAGAAGTTCAATGCTGAAGAAAACATGATTACTGTCATATTTATGGTTTAAAGAGCGTAATGAGAAGATGAAGATTATTTAAAACACATATGATGTATAAATGCCTTACATTTCAAACAATCTCATCACACACATACACATACATGAACTTGTCCAACTATTTACATAACAATATACAAAAAGGGTCAATTAGGTCAATAGGAAACATGAGAATGCGAAATCTACTAGGAAAACAGGTTTAATATGAGTAGAAATTGTTTTTGTATGTATAAAGGAGGTTTAAAACTTTATAGATGGTGAGAACTTCAATAAATTTGAGCATTCAGACCTGAAGAATATAATTTAGTACTTTGAAAGGTGTTTTTATGTCTATCCTTTGGCTAATTTCTAGTGTGTTTACTAATAGATGGAGATGAACATTTACTGCCTACACTTATCAAATTTGTTAAGATTATTTGTTTTTGAAGTTACTCAGGTATATGTTCAACCAGTATTAACTGAAGATCACGATTACTCCTTCGTATGTATGAGTGCCTATATATATATATATATATATATATATATATATATATATATATATATATATATATATGAATTAATAAATACAATAGAATATGATGCAATTATGTTTTACAGATGGGTTGGTCTAACCCTTTTCCTCACAATCTACCTTTTTGAATCATCTCTAAATGGTAATAAAATGTGAACATTTCTCACAGGAAGTGAACATAGAATACTTTTGCACCTGTTGTCGTTGATAACTTAGTTTCTTCCTCTTTAAAGTCAATGGTGTAGATAAGACTTATCCTCTTGAAACAGATGACAAATGTCCATCTTCATCGATTGGTATATATATATATTAGAAATTAGTCAAAGGATAGACGTAAAAACACCTTTCAAAGTACTAAATTATATTCATCAGGTCTGAATACTCAAATTTATTGAAGTTCTCACCATCTATAAAGTTTTAAACCTCCTTTATACATACAAAAACAATTTCTACTCATATTAAACCTGTTTTCCTAGTAGATTTCGCATTCTCATGTTTCCTATTGACCTAATTGACCCTTTTTGTATATTGTTATGTAAATAGTTGGACAAGTTCATGTATGTGTATGTGTGTGATGAGATTGTTTGAAATGTAAGGCATTTATACATTATGTATGTTTTAGATCATCTCATTATGCTATTTCAATTTCTCAAAGGAGAAAATTACTTGGAACATTGATAGTTGTTTTAAACAGCATGTTTCTGAGGTAATTTTAAAGAGAAAAAACACTTCAGAAAACATATGTTTTTAAAAAAAAACTTTCTTTTTGCTGATAAATAAAGGTAAATGAAATTCTACTATACACAGATGATAGAAATAGATGACAGAATAACTTAGAGATTCAAAACACCGGCTGATGAATGGAGTATGCGCATAAACTTCTCGTACATGATTATTAATTTCTATGAAGAAAACTTAAAATGTTCACTGTAACTTCATATAAAAATCAACAATCTAGGCAACAAAAATGATTTCTGCAAGAAACTAATGGGAGAGGCGCTAACATTCGGTACATACAGAAGAGATAAATGGAATTGTAGTAATAATAACAGTAATAATAATAATAATAATAATAATAATAATAATAATAATAATATCAACTGATAAGATAAAAGAGGTAAATCTTCTACAGAAGCTTTGGTTGTACAGCTTAAAACTTAATCATATTATCACCTTCTGAAAAACAATTTTCATGTATATCACATAGATAGAACAATATAAAAATTTCAATGTGTATCACCACCTTCATTATCATGAGTAAGTGATTTTTGTTCATCAACTATAGTATGCCCATTACTGCATAGTGTAGTATGTCGTTCTTCTGGTAATGGATAACGTGAGAATATACTTGCTGCTACACTTCCATAAATATCATCAGTTATAATATGTTGATCATCACCTGTTTGATTAGCATTCTCGCTTCGTGTAATTGTAATAATAGTTTTCTCCGGTTCCATATGTAAATTACGTGTATATTCAATTGGAAAATAATCTAAATAATAACATGCACCATTCCATACTAATGTTAATGTTTGAACAATTAATAATGAGATATGGAATAGGTAATTACACCATGCAATTACAGCAAGTAATAAGAGAATTGTGGACAATAGTAGATTGCATGTTATCCAACCAATTAAATGCCATCTGAAAAATAAATAAAGAGAGAAAATTTAATACACAATAAGTCATTTTGATAGTGCTGCGTTTTCTGAACTGGTAAGTTTTATTGTGTAACTTTCATTGTCATTCCATCAGTAAAAAAACTTCAGAAAAAAGTGACCTATAGGGTTTTCTCTACAATTTATTTAGTAGGTAGTCCTGATGGCCTTGCATATGATTGGTTGTTTCTCCCAAGGTCTTGTCATTGTCTCCATATTTATTTTGATTGGTTGTCTTGATAACCTAAAAGTTGACTTTCTTGTGGTTTCTGATTGGTTGATGGATTGAGTCGATGCTAACATGTTTGTTTATTGCAGACTGATCTGATACCAAGCTTTTAGAAATTCTCCGGCATTCCTTTTATTTCTTCTATCCTGGATACCAAACCACTTGTAGAGAAAACACTATAGCTCGCCTCGTCCTGAAGTTTTCACTGATGATGATGACTAGAATCACAATAAAAACTCTCTCCACACACACACACACACAAAGGTGTTATCAGTATATCTCTTATATATCGTCAATTGATTGGTCACTAACTTGAGGCTACCATTCTTGGTGTTATTATTATTATTTGTCCCTTGGGTTCCTAGTGGGACATAGAGCTTAAATAGCACGTCTCCATTCCACTCTGCACTTCTCTGCAGTTTTTTGAACCTGCCTCCGCGACTTCCCACAAGCTCTCATTTCTTTATCACACGAACTCCTCCATGTCACCCTCGCATCAGACGCCCAACTGGTCGTTTCCCACCTGGGTTCGACTCGAGTGCCTCGTGCGTGATGTCCCCGAATGGTCTTGTCAGTGCAGAAGCAGAAAGTAATAAAAAAGAGGAGAGAGAAAATGATAAGGATAATGTGTGCATACATCCGCGCCATTGATATTGATTCTAGAGTCTCTAATTACTTGTTTCTCTTGTCTCGTGCACCTCAACCTGCTAATCTGCATCGCCCTACATGGCTCAAACCAACAGTCAAGGACTTCATGCATTGATACCATGTTTTAGTCTGACCTCCCCGTGTCTTTTTCCAACCTGAACCTACCTACTTCAACCAACACTGTGCCACGAGGCAAGCCCTTGCTAGGCGTACGTAAATACACAGTAAGTATCTCAACAATTACATTGTTTATCGCTATTTAGTAGCAAATAATGAATGAAAACGTCTGGATTACTCGTTCTGATAAGGGAGTGGGATTTGGTTCAACTATACCGACGGAGATATATGGAGGAAATTCACACCGAAGACCTTGGATGGTAGTCGCGCTATAACGCAAACTGATACAAGTAGAAAACTGTGAACCTTTGAATTCCAACCCAGTGGCTGAATGGTTACCGCCTTCGCCTTGAAACTTGAAGGTCATGAGTTCGACGCCTGGCCAGGTCGTGGGTGCGTACTGGTTGTACTAATGATGGTACTGGGCAGTTGTTTTGTCCTAGCACGAGACTTCGAACAGTGAGTATTTGTGACCCCACCACGGATTGAACCCGAAACTTTCAGGTTTCGCAATGAACATCTTGACATTGAGTCAATCGGTCGGGATCCTATAGTTCACATTTCTTGACTTCTGTCAATCCCCAATCTAGCGCAACCTTTATCAATGTTTTTTTCTGTCTGCTTTCTCCTTCTACTGCAAAGCGGGGTAACTGGAACTAATGAAACTTTATGAAATGGTACACGTTAATTTCGCGTTTTTAACTTTATCGCTAGTCGTTGAACGTTAGGAATGACTCAGAGTTGAATACTTGCAAGTAAGCTTACTAACGACAATAAAATACACATTTATGGTATGCATGGAACTTCGCTGAAGAATTTAAGTATATTTTAACAAATTACTTGATAAACATATAACATTCATTCACTATTATGTATATAAGTGACGCCTACATGTTATATACCCACGTAACTAACAACGTTTGTTTTTCAACTGTATATGCATATCACTTCGTTAGCTGTCAACACGTATACATATAGGTAGATCATGTGGCAAAAACTGGCTTAGTGATACATTAAAACGCGAAATAAATTGTGTTTGTTTGGTAATCTAAGACTACTACTATCAGTCAAATGAAATTTTGCGATTTGTTACAGAATCACAATACTACTAATAGTAAGTAGTACTAAAGATTCTTGTTTTGAATGCATTGCAATACGAAGTGAATTTAATTTGATGATTCGTATTGGATAATGAGTGAAGTTTGGTTTCCAGAATTACAGATCATTATACTTAGATTCAACTATTATATGTTGTTAACTTAAAACAGATCCTGTGTTCACGGAACATACATATTATGCATAAATAGAATAAGTTCGAAACCCTGCTCTTACTTATTTGATGGAGAAGTGACTCACTGAGGTTATGTTACAGAGTAAATTAGTACCTCATAAATTCCTCAGAAAAGGATCTAGAATCCTCTGAAAGCTTTCACAACCGATCATGGCGTACCGAACATTCGCCGAAAACCACGTAACTATGAGTGTATGATTCAGATGGATTAAATATCTCTCTGGAAAGGTATAGAAGAGATCAGGATATTGAAGGCAAGTAACGTGTTTCCATTTGACAACGAACCATTTTATCATTTTACCACTTCTTGTTATTTTCGAGGAAACGAGTAACCCTCAAGAAGAAAGCCAGGATATACCAACTTAGGAACTCGATTTTCAAGCAATTAGCCCTGGGTTCGATCTCCATTCCACTTACTGGTTTTGGGCAAATGAGTGATATCATAAACCTTGACACAACAAATGCTACTCATAGCCGAGTCGGTAAAAAACGTACAAATTTGAGTTACATTTTTTGCTCGCTTACTTCAAAGTTGAATAAACCAACGAATCATGATTCCAATGAAATGTAGATATCAGGACTAACGACTAAGTGTCTTGATATCTCGTTCTAGAAGTAACATTAAAAATAATATCAAATAACCTACATGTGGAATGAATTACACTGGATTTTACTAATAAATATCAGTTCATCAAAGTGATGACTAGTTGATATCTCCTTTGTTTCAAAACAAATTACGATGGCTTTATTGAGGAAGAACTTAAAAGACAACGTGATAATGTAAGACAGGAAAATAATAACTAAAAGGGAACATGCCAAAGATAAACAGCTTTTTTCTTATTCATACATTTCGAAAGAACTTGTTAACTTATATGATAACGTAGTTTCAATCACTGAACTCTTTGAGTGTTAGTATGAACCGTGTAGGAAAATGTTACCGATTGCTGTCACCGTGACAACAGACAATAGTAGTAGGAGATTCTAGGTGACATGGTTCAAAATTGATGTCACTGGAGCAGATGTATCCACACAGACAAAATAAACGTGGATCCTCGCACACACGTACATCACCTTAAGTTGCTACACTTCACAGAAGCATACAAAGTTATGTTAAAGAATAAGATAACAGTTATTATGAATATTCAAGTTTTAGATGTCAAGGAGTGAATACATTTGCGCCATTGTGACCGATTTCCAACTGTCACCAAGAGACCTCAACTACTCATTCCTTTCGTCTCGGAGTCCTAAACCAGGCAGCTGACATCGCCCCACAAGACTCAAAACAACAGTAACAAGCTTCATCGAATGCCATCACGTCTTACTCTGGTCACTCTGAAACCTCTTCCCATTTATTCAACTTTCCCCACTAGCATGACACGTCAAGGTAAGCAGTAGCTCGACATGTTCAGTACATGTTCAGGCCATCTCAGTCGATGCAGATATCCATCAATTTCATCAATCGACTTACCTGTCTTGCCTAGTAGCCTCCACCTGACTGACCTCAACATTGCTCATACGGCGATTCCACCAAACGTGAGCGACGCTATGAAGACACATATGATCAAAACCTTGTGACGGCTTCATGTCTTCTACTTTCAACGAACACGTTTCACAGCTGTATAACAGGACAGAACGTACTTTGGCGTAGCGTACTTGTCTTTTAATAGATAGTCGGATATCTCACCAGTTGGCCCCATGGAGAATGTAAGTTGGCAAATGCCAAACGGGCTTCCTGTATCCAAGCTGAGACATATTAGTCCTCATACTGAATTCAGCATTTTGTTATTCTGATGTGTCGATATGAGGTTTGGCAACTTGAACCGTTACGTAGAAAACCCTGGTCCTATTTAGTTAATGATGATATATGATGACGATGATTAACAATGAAAAGTGACTTCATGCAGCTTAAGTGTCGTACAGGCAACCACTTCTATTCTCTTATCAAATGATTACTGATACAGATTTACTGGTGACAGATAAAATAAAATAAAATAAAATGATTCAACAGAGGAGTTCATATTATTTAACATTTTGAACATTTGTCGTAATTTCATAGTGGAAATTTTCGCTTCCAGATGAGTTAGCCATATGTATACTGCTTGGCTGCAGTCCCCGAGACGGTATGAATCAGTGGTTGAGGACTCTTGTTGACATGGCTGGAATGGCGAAGCTGTATTCACTTCTTGACATCTAAAGCTTGAATATTTACCTTCAAATTATCATTTGACTATCTGAGATAGTCAGCAGTTTGGCAGACTAGTATTTATACTGGGTGATGATTGGAAATTAAATGAAAATTTGGACGGCGGCGGGATTCGGACCAGCAACCACCGAGTTACCGACCCGTGCTCTACCAACTGACCTACGAAGTCCGACTACTGACAAGATATGTTTTTCACTTCAATCACCAAGGGTTTTGCCCGACTACCATGTGAATTGGTGATGTGTTACTGCCGCTTGATCGTATTCACACTGGCTACTCGCGGTCAGGACTTCTCCTCCCAATCCAAATCTAACTGAATCAGAGAAAGGGAGTATCATATTGATTATCATTTGACTGAGATAGCCGTAATTTGACAGACTAGTATTTGTACTGGGTGATGATTGAAGGTGAAATGAAAATTTGGATCGCAGCCGGATTCGAACCAGAGACCACGGGACTACCGACCCGATGCTCTACCAACTGAAATGAAATAAAAATCTGGTCAGCGGTCGGACCTCGTAGATGAGTTGGAAGAGCATCAGGCCGTAAACCGAGTGGTCGCTGGTTCGAATCCTGCTGCGGTCCAAACTTCCATTTCACTCTTTTTCTACTCACCTGTTCATTTAATACTACTGTGAAGTAGTGACGACTTGAGCCAATGCACTTTTGTGCGAGGTTCTACATTGATTCCGTCAGTCAGTTAGCCGTATACAAAATGCATTGACAAGAAGATACTCTCAAAACCTTTAGTGAACTAATTCAATTGAAAATAGATGGTTGACATAGATAAGATTTCGTTTTAACAGTAGTGAGTTTCCCATAGAATCTACCTCCAGTTAGTTGAAAACAAATAAACAACTAGCCATTGCTTGAGAAAAAAAAACTTTTAAACTCAATCCAATGGTGTAATTTACGCTCTACAATCTAAACTGTTTGCTGGAAAAGTAGTGGACAGGCAATCGAATAATTTATCATAGTGAAAGTTGCTTTAAGCTTTACCATGAAAAGAGTTATATCAGAGTCATTATCAATAATCAGTAAAAAAAAAAGAAGTAAGGCAATGGACAATAGCAGCATATTAATGCGAACACTATAACATAAATACACACACTCACCGGTCATGGATATGCTTCCAAAAGAAACGCCATAATATTTTCTTTTTATGCAAATACCGAAAACTATCCAAATGCTCATCACTAGGCCTTACAATCCCATAGATAATAACATAATAGAGTACCTATAAAGCAGAATATCAAGAGATATATTTGATGGAGACACATTTACACCTACCAGTGAAGAACAATTAATCCCAACCAATGAACCAGACATTACTGCGTAACGGCACAAGTCTCCATATCTCATATCAGCAAATCAAGTAACAAAGTATTAAGATGAAGCACTAAAGAAGAATCCATCAAAAGCAGTGAAAGACGGGAAGGTGGAATGAGAAAACGCTGAATCCAGGCATAGCGGTTACAATGAAGATGAGATGTGGATACGTCTGATCCATATCACCTAGGGTCTCCAACTACTAGTTTCTATTCTCCTGGGGACCTCAACCGGCAAGTCTGCATCTTCTTACATGGCTCAAACCAACAGTCAACGACTTCATGCAGTGATACCATGTTTTAGACTAGTTGTTCAAAAGGCTTTTTCCAGTCTTAACATACTTCAGCTAACATTGTGATACACATCCTAGCCATTTTAGTCGATGAAGGTTCACTACCTTACCAACTGGCTTCTTTCCACCCCCGTAAAACTCTACACCTGACTTCTGAGTTACTGACTTGATGACAACACGACATTGTGTGAAGAACAGTCGGTTGTTGATTTCGAAGATTAGGCGTTCCAAATAACAACTGCTATCTGTTGTACACAATAAGGATCGGGAAGATAACAAGATACGACTTGGTTTATTAATCTGAAATCGGTATGGAGATCTACTACACTGCACTGCACTCAGCAGAAAGAACAAGATACAAATTTCTAACACTAATGTCAATCAAGTCAGTTCTTCTACATAGTTCAAAGACTTGGCGCGTCACTAAAAGAGTTTCCAATAAACTACAGATATACATCATCAACAACTGCTGCCTACACTCACTCGATACTCAAGATCAGATTACCAGAAAGAATAAACAACAAGGAATTCTGGAAACGAATCAACCAACAACTCATCGCCCAAAAATATGCTGAGGAAGAAAGTGGAGATGGATTGGATTGGAAATACACTGAGAAAACCAGATTGCCAGAACAAGCAATCAAGTCGAACCTAAATGGAAAATGACAAGTTAGGTGTCCAAGGGTGACATGAAAGAGATTATGTCAAGAAGAAATGAAAGCTTGTGGGCAGTTGAATGATAAGTATTTTCAAATTTCAGTCAAATTGTGGTGTAGCATAATTTGATTCGCTTTCATCTTCAACTTTGTTTAATTTAAAAACAACACAGTCTTCTGTGTACAACATCTAGAATTCAATCATTAACAAGTATTGGATATTTGGTTTATTGTTCCTAGTATCATGTTAGGCTTCCCAATATTGTCAAGGATCTATTGACAATGTGATATAATGAAAGTGTAAGTTTACTCGATTTATGAAGCCAATCTAAAACCTGATAGAAAAGTGTATCAGTTCAATTTGCCACAATTTATAGTATCCTGAAAATAGCAAATGTATAGAAAAAGTGATTCTTAGCTAAATATAAGTGTATGAGAATCAACAGAGGAAAGTTGAGAAATTCAAGACTTCAAAGCTGTCAAAAGTGAATACACCTGGACAATCGTCGCAAACTTTAAATCATATCATCAACAATTTCTAGTGATTGATTCCTACTCTTTACAGCACCCCAGCTATACAGTCAACACAGCCTTCAATGGATCAGATAAGCAAGCAAAACCCACATAGAATGTTGTCACATCTTGTTCTGATCAGCTGGAGCCTTATTTCTGATTGGTTGACACAATCAAAGTACAATCTCGTACAAAAGTGCATCAGTTAAAGTCACTATACTTCACAGCACAACACAGAGAATAGGTGAATAGAAAAAGTGACATCAAAGAAAATAGTGTGAAAGAATAAACAATCTGAAGATAAGGGTTGGTGGAAATATTCAAGCTATTGAAGATTTCAAGGGGTTAATACATCTGCGCCATTGTGACTGATTCTCACCCATGCCACCAAAAGACCTCAACCATAGAATTCTGTCGTTTCGAAGACTCCAATAAAAATAGTTTAAATCACCCCCATGAGACTCAGATCAACAGTGAGACACTTCATCGACTGGTGCAACATCCTGATCTGGCTACCCTGAACTCTTTTTCCAACCGAACCCAACGCCCACCACCACCAGCAGCCTGGTAAATCGACGTAGGCGGTGCCTAAGCATACACAGTACGCATCCAAGCCATTTCAATCGATGAAGGTTCACAACCTCATCAATCAATTTGCCTTTCTTGCCTTGTACCCTTCATCTGACTTAAATAATACTCACAAGGTGATTCCACAAAACGCAAGCAATGCTATAAAGACACTTAGATAGATCACACACTAGAAATGACGCAGAAATACTGATAGCTCACTTCATAATGTTGTTAGAGCTGATGATGTTGCCCAGCAAGACCACGAAAGTGACACGATTCATTCACCCAATTCAGAGATTACAACATAGTCAATAACAACCAACTGAGTTTTGAAAACAGGTTTATCTAAAGTTTCATAAGTATGACGAATATGTGATCATCAGTATGAATGTAAAACTTGGGCATTGTGGTTGCATGTAACTCTGTATTGGATTTGTTTATTTGATACATACAGCACACACTATGATATAGTATTATTGACTTGATGACATCTCAAGCATTAATTATCATTGTTCATAATCACATCAATGTAATCACACTCCACTGTCGACATCTGATTCTTATAATCCTATCATCTCACATTCTTCCTTCCGATTGGTAGTAAAGTCTTCCTAATTCCTAAAATAGGTGTTGCGTCATTCCTATTACATGTGTTGCATGTTGGCTGATTCCATCAACAAAGATTTAGTAAACAACTTCTCTCTGTCTCCCCAATTATATTCCACTGAAGTACAGTGGTTTTATCCCACTCATCGCATTGTGAGTAGTTCTGTGTTAATGCATACACTGCAGCACCCGAGTTCTTTTTCAACATTATTCATCTTATTCGGGTTTGTCATTTTATATTTAGCTGAATTCCTATCTTCCACTAATCTAACTGACCCCAACCGGCTAGTCTCATCTATGTACTTACTTGACCTAACTCACAGTCATTACATTGAATTTCATAGATTAGATTATTTTGCTAAATTCATCCTATCGGATCCTTAAGCCAGGTGACAAAGCTTATCTCCGAGTGAGTTTGTAGGTCTGAATGCCACCGTATTTCCAGCTTTACTCAGGATCCTACGTAAAGTTTCTTCGGTGGGGTTAGGGTTAGACAGTTCAGACTGTATTGCCCTTATTATTCGTACTCGTCTTATTCTTACTATTTCATTTCTTGTGTGTTCATACGAATTTCTCAATAAACTGCAGAGGACAATTACTAATTAGTAGCGCTTATTCTATGTGCTTCAGTTCCTTGTTTAGGTGGTCCTTGCACTGACTATTCAGTTTTCTAGCTCTATCACATAAACATATGACTATGCTTGCTCTCACAAACATTGGAGAGGATGACTTGAAGTTTAGATACCGATTAGAATGTGTTGGTTTCCTGTAGACGATAGCATCCAACTACCGTCTGTTCTTCGTGTAAAAATCAAATGTCGAAAGTAGTGTGATTACGTTGATATGATTCTGAGCAACGATAATTTGTGTTCGAAACGTCATCAAGTAAACAATATTTTATAACTCTATACTGTATATATCAAATATCAAATCCGGCCGCGGTTCAGATTTTCACCTCACCTTCAATCATCATCAAGTATGAATCTAATACAGAACCTTAGTAGTTTCTCAACTGTCAAACTGAGGTGTAAGTAAACAGGGTTTCGGTTGGTAATCACCCTGAAGCTAAGATCACAAGGTGTGATCTTTAACATATAGGTGTCATGAACTAATAAAATACACTACTGAAAAATATGAATGGTTAGTTAGAAACCACCATCACAGTAGGACAGTTGAAAAACTATTCAGCCGTAACAAATGTCAACATGGATCATATGTTTTGCAAATTATTTGTAAATTAATCATCTTACTAATAGCATGCCAGTTCACACAAGTCAGTCAGTCAGTTAGATTCAGATAATCGGAACAATTCGGCTTTGTGAGCTGTATAGTGAGCGATAGTAATGCATCATGAATTCATACGGTATTCGAGCAAAATCCTTCATGACTGAATTGAAATAAAAGTTTAGTCTGTAGTCGAGTCTCGTATCTGAGTTGTTAGAGCACTAAGCCGGGAAACAGGTGGGGATTTTATTCAAGTTAATATCCACCACAGATTGTCATCAGTCGGAGGACAATGGAAAACCTGAAGGTCCTCAGCTCGATCCCTGGTAAGGTCGTGGGCGTGTACTGCTGAGGAGTACCATACTAGGACGAAATGGTTATCCAGTACCCCCAATTTTTCCGTGGTTACCAAACTGATTTCAGTCTCCGATGAATACTACCCTGAAATAAAATTTACTATCATGTGTAATTATTTATTAGAAATGTAATTACAATTGACAGAAATTAACTCATTAAATACTTTGAAAATATGATTTATCTTAACGTGCTAGCAATATACAACAAAAATAACAGTGTGGATGAAAGTTTAATAAACCAGAGTGGACATCAGTTCTTTTGAGGTTATAGATACGCCTTACTGATGAGTGTCAGTGCATACACTAGGTCAAACAGAGTTTCTTACCAACTCCATTCAACCAACTAACATTTGTCAAAATGCCCTGAGATAGTTAGCTACTTAGCTTGGTGGTAAAATGATAGATAAGATTCAATCAGCACTCGAGATATGAAATTGTTTGGCCTACAATGACCAATCCGATAATGATTATTCCTTAAAATATATCATATCTCACGGCGGCTTGCGCTGTCAAATTTATCCATTGAACATTTTTCATCATATTCTTTCCTTTTAATTTGTTTTAATCATTTAAATATATCCTTTGAACGTATCATATACTCTGGCACATTTTTAAACTGTTTCCAACTCTCCGTTTCTCGAGTCAGTAAACAAAGTAGCGAGAAAATGTTACGTTATATGGAAATGGACTT